AAAATTGATTGCATAATATGTTGACCTGCCTCATAGTTCATGAAATTCACCCTAAGGAATACAAAAGGTGTCCGAGAAACACAAAAACAACACATACAAAACCATTTAGGAGTTCTTTAACACAAACAAAAGAAACTGTCACCTAAAAATTTTGTTACTCAAAAAGTCTAGCCTTCATTTAGTCCATAGACCAGGGCCCAAAAAAATGGGCTTTCAGTACGGGGGAACAAATGCTATCATAGATTTTTGAAAACGGCAGTCACTCTAGTTTAATATTATGTATGATAGCAGTGCCAAATGAGTAGCTGGACAGGTATTACCACGTGATCAAGTGACGCTCCTCCTTACTAAAGAATTGACAGAAAACAAACGATAACTGCCTAACACTATTCTTTGCAAGCGCGTTAACCGTTCTTAAAGGGTGTTTTATGTATAAAAAAATGATAAAGGTTTCTTCCAAGTGAGGTTTTAACTACTGAGTTCAGAATTATTTGAGTTTCTAAGATTTTTTTCCATGGATACGCTATATGTACTTAGGTGTAAGCGTCAAATTCTGAAATATTTTTGTTTCATGTCTTTCCTCGCAAAATTCTCACTAGTAGAAGAAGAAAATAATATTAGATTCACAGCCAACAGTTAATTTAGACGCCATCGCTACAAAGACAATATATCTTCGCTAATATCCACGCGCCATCGTGGATCCGCCATGTTGCTTTCGCCATCTTGTCGGATATTTAGAAACGATTACTCCAACATATAATGAGGCGAAATTGTTTAAAAAGATTTTGAAGCGTACGTTTCAAGTAGAAATACTTGTTATTCAATCTTCAAACAATCCCCTAAGATCAGGAAGGATACAATTATGATGAAATATTTGAAAAATCAGGGTTCTTAAAGTTCATTGATTTTCCTGAAAAAGAGGACCAATTCACATGGAGGAATAATGAATTAATAATTGTCACAATTATATCTCAATAGCGTGACAGATGATTCCTTTTTGGATTTTTAATCTTCCTCATCCCCATCGTCCTCATGCCTCAGAACATACGTCATCGGGCATTTCTTCCTCCTCCGCGGCACGATTGCCAGTAATGAGAGTGTTAAAACAAAAGCATCTAGTTTTGTTGGAAAACTGGTTACACCGTCGCATAGTTTGGCAGGTTTTGGTGGCAATGACGATTCTCGGTCAGCACTATTTGAAAAATCTGCATCACGGGTGTGCAGGCCGGCTTGCTTAATTACCTTGATTTCGGAAGGAAATTTTGTCTAATTGCTAAGATTAAGATTTTGTCTAATTGCTAAGATTATGATAACTTGATCGACTTTAGTCAACGCGAAGTAGTAAGGAAATTAAGTGGTTTCAGTATGAACTGAAGTCAATTTGATACAAGTCGATTCAAGACAAATTAAACTTGATTCGATACATCCACAAAATCGATTTCAGACGACTTCAGCAGGTCGATCCCGGTCCATTTTTGGTCGATCTACACATATGCTTAAATTACAACAACTCAATTGTAGCCATTTCAAAGAAAACAAAACTAGAAAGAGACGTTGGTGAAATTAGCGAAACCGCCTAAAACTTTACCCAAACGACTACCTGGCGACACGACTGCAATTCCCTCGGTAGCCAGTTGAGCGTTTGAAAGATTTTTGGGTAGAACAAAAAGCTGATTATTATCCAGGAGATCTTCAAATTGCAATGTATCACCGAAACCTCTTTCCAACTTTATTAAAAAATTGTTTCTTGCTGATTCGAATTTTGAAGCATCTGCGCATGCCACTGATGGCGGTATGACATCTTACTGCATACGATCACTGTGTGATCGTATGTAGTAAGTTGTCTTTTCTCCTAGATCAGCCATCTTAACTAGTTTGGTATTTCTGATATACTTGATAGAATAAACCCAAGAAGTTTGTCATAGTATTGCGAATCGATATCATGTGAAATAATTGGTTTTATCCGGGGCAGATTCACCTTCCAAGTATGAACGCTTGTTTACTTCGTTTGGTCGGTTATAAACTCGATAGCAGTGACACTGAGACTATCTATGAACTGAAGACCGAACACCAACCGGAGACCGAAGACCTAAGACCCATAACGGAAACATCAGGCGCTTCACTTTGTGAGATGTTGAAATAAACGTTATCACGGATAGGGTCAATGTCCGCAGAAAATGTTGGGATCAAACTACAAAACGAAGAGGTTCACGAAAACGCTTTTCCAGGCCGCGAAATACATAATGTCGCTCGCCACGCTTTGAGTAACGTTAAAATAGACGTTATCGATTGGGGCTGGGTTGAACTATACAGAACAAATACCTCATGTTCGCCTGAACGCTTTGGCGCCTAAATACATCATGTAGATAGGTGTTCGTTTTGAAGAACCCTGTAAGGACGTGTTGTGCACGTTTATACAACAAAGCATAACGAACGATATCATATGTTTTGCGGCCCC